CATACTCGTGGTGCTGCTCTCGGTTCTACTGCTCGCCGACTTGCTGTTCATAGTGATGCCGCTGGTACAGGTCGCACTTGTCATACTCTTGGTGCTGCTCTCGGTTGTAGTGCTCACCGACGGGCTGGGTGTAGTGGTGCCACTGGTACAGGTCGCACTCGTCATACTCGCGTTGCTGCTATCGCTCGTGCTGCTCACCGTCGTGCCGGACGTTGTGGTGCCGCTGGTACAGGTCGCACTCGTCATACTCGTGGTGCTGCTCTCGGTTGTAGTGCTCGCCGACGCGCTGGGCGTAGTGGTGCCGCTGGTACCAGTCGTACTCGTCATACTCGTGGTGCTGCTCTCTATCGTACTGCTCGTCGACGTGCTGGGCGTAGTGGTGCCGCTGGAACAGGTCTTACTCGTCATACTTGCGGTGCTGCTCTCAGTCGTACTGCTCGCCGACGTGCTGGGCGTAGTGGTGACGCTGGTACCTGTTGTACTCGTCATACTCGTGGCGCTGCTCTCGGTCGTACTGCTACCCGACACGCTGGGCGTAGTGGTGCCGCTGGTACCCGTCGCACTCGTCATACTCGTGGTGCTGCTCTCGGTTCTACTGCTCGCCGACTTGCTGTTCATAGTGATGCCGCTGGTACAGGTCGCACTTGTCATACTCGTAGTGCTGCTCTCGGTTGTAGTGCTCACCGACGCGCTGGGCGTAGTGGTGCCGCTGGTACAGGTCGCACTCGTCATACTCGCGTTGCTGCTATCGCTCGTACTGCTCACCGTCGTGCCGGACGTAGTGGTGCCGCTGGTACAGGTCGCACTCGTCATACTCGTGGTGCTGCTCTCGGTTGTAGTGCTCGCCGACGCGCTGGGCGTAGTGTTGCCGCTGGTACCGGTCGTACTCGTCATACTCGTGGTGCTGCTCTCTATCGTACTGCTAGCCCACGTGCTAGGCATAGTGGTGCCGTTGGTACCGGTCGTACTCGTCACAATCGTGGTGCTGCTCTCGGTTGTATTGCTCGCCGACGTGTTGGGCGTAGTGGTGCCGCTGGTACTGGTCGTACTCGTCATACTCGTGGCGCTGATCTCGATCGAATTGCTCACCGACGTGCTGAGCGTAGTTGTGCTCCTGGTACCGGTCGTACTCATAACATAAGTGGCGCTGCTCTCACTCTTGCTGGTCGCCGCCGTGGCCTCGTCTTCCTCTGCCTCAACCTCCTCAGCGCTCTCCTCGACCGCCTCGACCTCAGCCTCCTCGTCCTCGTCCTCCTCCTCCTCCTCTTCCTCCTCCTCCTCCTCCTCCTCCTCCTCTTCCTCCTCCTTATTATCCTCACCCTTGTCCTCGGCCTCCTCAACCTCTGCCTGATGGCACTTGGCCACCGCCGCGTCCCAGACGGCCTCGACGTCTGTCTTGCAATCGAGGTTGAACTTGATGTTGGGGAACTTCTCCGTGATCACCTGGCAGATCTCGTCATAGGCCTTTTCCTCGTCCTGCTTCTGCGACGCGACCTCGCAGATGAGCTTCTCTATGTCCGCCGGGCTCGGCAGAGTCAGCTGCGCCTGCGGGCGCTTGGCCACCGCCGCGTCCCAGACGGGCTCGACGTCTGTCTTGCAGTCGGGGTTGAACTTGATGCTGGGGAGCTTCGCCGTGATCACCTGGCAGATCTCGTCAACGGCCTTGCCCTCGACCTGCTTCTGCGACGCGGCTTCGCAGATGAGCTTCTCCATGTCCGCCGGGCTCGGCATCGTCAGCTGCGCCTGTGGGCACTTGGCCACCGCCGCGTCCCAGACGGCCTCGACGTCTGTCTTGCAGTCGGGGTTGAACTTGATGTTGGGGAACTTCTCCGTGATCACCTGGCAGATCTCGTCAACGGCCTTGTCCTCGTCCTGCTTCTGCGACGCGACCTCGCAGATGAGCTTCTCCATGTCCGCCGGGCTCGACAGGGTCAGCTGCGCCTGCGGGCACTTGGCCTCCGCCGCGCCCCAGACGGCCTCGACGTCTGTCTTGCAGTCGGGGTTGAACTTGATGTTGGGGAGCTTCGCCGTGATCACCTGGCAGATCTCGTCAACGGCCTTGTCCTCGACCTGCTTCTGCGACGCGGCTTCGCAGATGAGCATCTCGATGTCCGCCGGGCTCGGCAGCGTCAGCTGCGCCTGCGGGCACTTGGCTACCGCCGCGTCCGAGACGGCCTCGACGTCTGTCTTGCAGTCGGGGTTGAACTTGATGTTGGGGGGCTTCTCCATGATTACCTGGCAGATCTCGTCGACTGCCTTGCCCTTGACCTGCTTCTGCGCCGCGACCTCCACGGCCTCCTCCGCGGCGAGGGTGACGCCGCACAGGAGAGGGAACAGGGCGCCGACCGCCGCCGGCGGCCACCAGCGGGCACATGGCAGCCGCCGCGGGGGCCCCCGCCTCCGCCTCCGCCTCCGCCTCCGCACGTCGACGTCCACCTCCATGGCCCCGGAGTTGAGGTAGGGGAGAGCGGGGGGAGCGGGGGAGGGAGGGCCCGCAGGGGGCGGCCGCGCCCCGCGCGGCCCCGCGCGCCCGCTTGAGTCCTCCTCCTCCTTGAGCCTTCCTCCCCCTCCTCCCCTCCTCCCCTCCTCCTCCCCCTCCTCCCCCTCCTCCTCCTCCTCCTCCTCCTCCTCGTCCTCCTCCTCCTCCTCCTCCTCCTCCTCCTCCTCCTGCCCCTCCTCCACCTCATCCTCCTCCTTCTCCTCCTCCTCCTCCTCCTACACCCGTAGAGACTTCTGAGGAGAGGGGCTTCGGGACGGGCGCATCGCAGCATCAGGGCGACGGAATCTATACATGTCCACCGCTCCCTGGCCAGGCCCATCCTGAACCCAGCAGCGGTGTGTATGCCACGCCATCCTGGTTTGGCAGGGACGGAGTATACATAGCGCCTGGCTTCGGGGTGGGCCTGGCCAGGGAGCAGTGGACATGTATAGACTTCGTCGCCCGAAGTATCGTGAACGCAGCAAAGGGACATTCCAGTCCCCCCCCTCCTCCTCCTGGAGGAGGGCCATTCCAGACACCGGCGGCCCTCCAGCCCGGCCCACGTCCGCTCAAAATTTACGCGTTCGATCATGCACCCCTCGCCACGCATCTTGGCCTCCGAGGACCGCCGGAAGACCGCCGCGGGGCCCGGGGCCCGACACGGTCCTTCGGCGGTCTTTCGGCGGTCTGCGGCGGTCTAAAGGCGGCCCGACACGGTCTTCAGCGGCTTTCGCCAGCCATCGGCGTGAAAGCCAAAGGTTTTGCGTTGGCAAGGGGCCCATGATCGAACACGTACGGTGCGGGCGCGGCCGCCAGAAACCCTCGCAAGAAACCCAACCCTGGGAATCCGTGCGTGGGGTGCACCTGAGGGGAAACCCAGAGCACCCTGAACGAAGCAGCTCGAGGAGCGAAATAACCCTGGATATCGACTAGACGTAAGAGCGACCTTTCGCAGGAGTGACATTTGGTGCGGGCATAGATGGGTCCCCAGATGGCTGAAAACGAAACAGTAGCAGCTGCTTGCGCGCCCAGGTTTGGTCTCCCCGCGGCCCCCAAAAAGCCGCGCACCACAGGTCACCCTTACCCAGGGTCACTCTTGCGTATAGCCGAGGATACCCTGACGAAAAGCATATGGTTTCTTGATGCGCGCTCCCACTGTAACCAAATGGCTCCCTGACCCCTCCCAAGGTCCATCCTGACCCGTCGCTCGAAGCGGAGCCCACCGTGGCGACGAGGAGCCTCACGCAGGCCCGGGGAGTGACGAAGTCCCCAGGGAGGGCCACAGGTGTCTCGGATGGCACTCCTCTCAGACTCCTCCTCATCATCCTCCCCATCCTCCTCCTCCTCCACCTCCTCCTCCTCCTCCTCCGTTTCCTTCTCCTCCGTTTCCTCCTCCTCCTCCTCCTCCGTTACCTCCTCCTCCTCCCCCTCCTCCTCCCCCTCCTCCTCCTCGTCCTCCGCCTCATCCTCCTCCATCTCCTCCGCCTCCGCCTTACAGCTATAACTAATGACACTAGTGTCGTTCAGACGCCACCATCCCTCCTCCGCCTCCTTCGCCTCCTTCTCCTCCTCCTCCTTCTCCACCTGTCGACCGTTAGCATCATCATCATCATCATCATCATCATCATCATCATCATCATCATCATCATCATCATCATCAGCATCACCATCATCATCATCATCATCATCATCAACACCATCATCATCATCATCATCATCATCATCATCATCATCAGCAGCAGCAGCAGCATCAGCATCAGCATCACCATCATCAGCATCATCATCAACAGCATCATCATCATCGTCGTCGTCACCATCAGCAACACCATCATCTTCTTCGCAACTGTCATCATTAACATCATCACAATCAGATCAATCAGCAGCACCATCATCATAACCATTATCAGTTACATCATCATCATCTGCATCATCATGATCAGCAGCACCATCATCAGCATCAGCATCACAATCATGATGACGATGATCATCATCATCATCATCATCATCATCATCATCATCATCATCATCATCATCATCATCATCATCATCGTCGGCGTCATCCTCGAACTTCTCCCTCCTGCCGACCGTTAACAGCGTGGTCATAGAGCGCCTCCTCCCCCTCTTCCCCTCCTGCTCCTTCTCCTTATCCTTTTCACCCTCCTCCTCCACCTCCTCCTTCTCCTCCGCGTCCTCCTCTTCTTCAAGATCCTCCTCCACCGCCTCCTGCTCATCAATATTATCAATCTCAGCATCAGCATCAGCATCAGCATCAGCATCAGCATCAGCATCCTCTTCCTCCTTCTCCTCCTCCCCCTGCTCGATCTAATCTTCCTTCTCCTCCCTATCCCCTGCACTCCCCCTCCACCGAATCTCCCCATCCACCGATACTCCTCCTCCTCGTCCTCCTCCTCCCCCTTCACCTCCTCCTCATCCTCCTCCTCCTCCTCATCCTCCTCCCCCCACTGGAACGCCACCCTCCTCCGTGCGCGCCGCCTTGCCCATCAAGCACTGGGCGCGCCGCTCGCGCGCGTCTGCTCGGGAGAAACTCTGCTCCTTGGCCTCCGGCACTGGCTCGTGCGAGAACACCTGCCAAGGCGTGCCCTCCTTATCGTCCTCCTCCTCCTTCTCTTCCTCCTCGCGCTCGTGCGAGAAACACTCCTCCTCCTCGTCCTCCTCCGCCGCCTCCTCCTCCTCCTCCTTCTCCTTCCCCTCCTCGTCCCCCTCCTCCTCGTCCTCCTCCTCCTATCCCTCCTCCTCATTCTCCTCCTCCTCCTCCTGCTCCTGCTCCTACTCTCTAGTCTTTTCCTCGTCCTCCTCCTCCTCCTCCCCTTCCTCCCTTTACTCCTGCTCCTACTCACACTCCCACTTCGACTCCAACTCCTACTTCTCCTCCTCCTCCTCCTCCTTCCCATCCTCCACATTCCTCCTCCTCCTCCTTTCTCCTCCTCGTCCTCCTCCTCGTCCTCCTCCTCCTCATCCTCCTCGTCGTCGTCCTCCTCCTTCCTCCCACCTCCTTCGTCCTTCCTCCTTCCTCCGTCGTCCGTCCTCCTTCCTGCTTTCCCCTTCCTCGTTCGTCCCTCCTCCTTCCTCCTTCCTCCTGCCTCCTCTCTCCTTCATCCCTCTTTCCTTTTTCCTCCTTCCTCTGTCCTCCTCCTCGTTCCTTATTCCACTTTCCTCCTTCCTCCTGTTTCCTCTCTCCTCCCCTCCTCCTCCTCCTCCTCCTCCATCATTATCCTTCCCTTCCTCCTCCTCCTCCTCTCCCTCCTCATCCCTCCTCCTCCTCCTCCTCCTCCCCGTCCTCCTCTTCCTCCTCCTCGTCTTTTGTGTCATCCTCCTCCTCCTCTTCCGCCTCCTCCTCCTCCTCATCCTCCTCCTCTTCCTCCTCCTCCTCGTGTAACTGTTGCACGCGCATGCACGTGTGGCCATGAGCCCCAAAGATATCGCAATCGAGAGCCTCAGTTTGAAAAGGGGGCCTGGGCTGGGGTTTTGGGTCCAAGACCGCCTCAAGCTACAGACCACGTTGCAAGCAGAAAAACCATCCATGCTTGAAGCTGTTGCAAACCTTCAGCCCGGATGCCCGCGGCAATACGGGGAACGCCACATCATGGAAACGGGCAGCCCTCCATCTTCGCAGCCACAGAGGTCTAAGACACGTGCGCGCGGCGCTAGGGCGAGAGCCCCACGTGGGAAAACAACACCCTCGGCCCTTGAAGCTGCTGCACAGTGAACAGTAGTGTGCGCGGCGCGAAAACTGAAGCCACATATTGAAAGCGCCCCCACCCTTCACCATTCCCTGAACATTCTGCAAAAGTGTAGCACGAATGCACGTACCGCTCGGGCGAGAACCACATCATGGAGAAAACCCGTCCCCCATCCTGAAACTACCGAGCCGACCTCTAGTCTTCGAGGTGTCGCAGGCTTTCAGGACGAATGCGCGTGGCGCTGCCGCGATGCCCAAATCTTAAAAATCACACTCATCCATCCTTGAACCTGATGCAAGCGTTTAAGACGAATGCACGCTGCTCTAAGGCGAAAGCCACATATATGGTCCAGGGTTTGGCCCCCCCCCTAATGCAGATGCCATTGGGCCCCCCCCCCGCGCGATGATCCCCCCCGCCCCCCCCTGTGGGCGTGGCGTGGTGCTGCGCTGCGGTGCCCACCCCCCCCTGTGGATGTGGTGTGGTGCTGTGGTGGTTCAGAGGTGGGCGTGGCGTGGTGCTGCGCTGCGGTGCCCCCCTCCCCCCCCCTGTGGATGTGGTGTGGTGATGTGGTGGTTCAGAGGTCGTCGTCGTCGTCGTTGTCGTCGTCGTCGTCGTCGTCCTCGTCCTCGTCGTCCTCGCCGTCCTCGTCGTCCTCGTCGTCCTCGTCGTCCTCGTCGTCGTCGTCGTCATCGTCGTCGTCATCGTCGTCGTCGCCGTCGTCATCGTCGTCATCGTCGCCGTCGCCGCCGCCGCCGCCGGCGGCGTCGCCGCCGCAGCCGTCGTCGTCGTCGTCGTCGTGGTCGTCGTCGTCGTCGTCGTCGTCGCCGTCGTCGTAGTCGACGCCGTCGCCGTCGCCGTCGCCGTCGCCGTCGCCGTCGCCGTCGCCGTCGCCGTCGCCGTCGCCGTCGTCGTCGTCGTCGTCGTCGTCGTCTCTGGGACCATACCATCTGGGGGGGGGGGCCCGAGGAATCCTGGGACCATACCATCTGGGGGGGGGGCCCGTGGGCCCGGAGCCCGGGACCATATATTGCAAACGACCCACCCGTCATGTCTAAAACTGCTTGGAGCGTTTCAGACACATTCGCACAGCGCTCCAGCGACAGTGTTCTATTGAGCCCATCCCTCCCATCATTGGCGGTGCTGCACTGTCTGCAACGAGTGCTTGCTGCGGTGCTAAGGGGGTAGACGCATGTGGAGAAGGGCCATCCGTCCATGAAGCTCTTGCTAACAAACAACAAGACCATGACAATGCGGAGCTCTAAGGCGAAGTTTCCATCCCGCCCTACAGACACGTCTGACGATGCGACGCGGAGGAGTGCCTTAGCAGGGCAGCGGGTGAAGGACCAGAGGAAGCTCAAGATGCATCAACGATGCTGCAAGTACGCCCTCCCGCCCCAACTCCCCCTCACACGACCCTACGAGCCATCCCTCTCACTGCTATGCGCGGCCTTTTGGAAAGACGGGCAAGCGTGGGCCTGCCGTTGAGGCAAGAGCCTCACTTTGATTTGAAAAAAACCTTGCGCCCTGCGGGTGGCAAATAACGAACGCGACGTCCAAAATGGGAGGTTTCCAGCGACAGCGCCGTTCCAACAATGAAGAACCTCTATCCACTTCACTGTTGAACACGTCTAGACGTCTGGTCATTTACTTGGAGAACAGCTCACACGAAAACCTCATTTGAACACGAAACGCCTTCCATCCGTGCAAATGCTGTATACGTGTGCACACGCATACATGTATATACATATGTGTATGTATACCTATGTTTATATACATATGAGCCATGCGCACCACGCGCGCTCAGGTTGTATTCGGAGCTGACGCAGGGCTGTTCGCCAGCATGGTAAATTTCAGGACGGCAGCAATGTACCGCGAAGTCAACTTCCACTGCCCCCGTCGCCACCATTGGTCTGGGCCACTCGCTCTTCGCACCCGCTCAGGTCTAAACGCGAACGCTTCCGATTGCAAAACCGACGTCGGACAACCGCGACCAGCGACAGCAGAACCAGCATCCGCATCGGCATCAGCACCATCAGCATCGTCGCCAACGTCATCATCATCAGCAGCAGCAGCATCATCATCCAACTGATATCCCTCCTCCGCCTCCCCCTGCGTCCTCATCCGCCTCCCGTCCTCCTCGCCCACCCCCTCCCCAGCCTCCTCCCCCTCCTGATGATCCCCCCTCGTCATCCTACTCTCCCCCGTCACATCCCCTCGCCCCCCATCGGCCCGTCCCCCCTACATCCCAACCTCCTCCCACTGCCCCTCCGCCAGGCACAAAGAGCCGCGCAAAGCAGCACTACGCCCCAAGCGCCCAGGCCTCGTACGCTTAGCGTACGCTGTTCTTTGGAAGCTGACCCAATGGGTATCAGAATTCACTGAAGTCATTCTTGGAAGCGCTGCTGGAGCGCCTTCCTTTATCTCAACCTGCCCCGAGAACAACCAAGACACCTCTCCCTCGTCTCATCCTGCGACGTGCTTATTTCAATGCGCGCGCCCTCAGAGGCCCCGACTCCTTCCCCAGGCTAGCTTTCGCCGGAGGCCCACGTTTGACTGTCCAAGGGGCCCAGAGGCCTACGCCAAGACGAACGACAGGAACTGGGGAAAAAAACATGTCGCTGGAGACTCTAGACCCTCCTCCTCCCTCCTGCCACTCCTCTGCCTGCGCCCCCGGGAGATGCCCCACACTCCGCGAGCTCGCCCGCCCGCAACGAACGCGCAGGCGCGCTGACGAGACGAACGATTGAAGCCCAAAAGGAGTCGACACGCGCGCCGGCCCTTGCAACTGAGCAGCGGGCTCGCCCGTCCCTCGATGATCGCAAGGGGGCTTTTCCTCCTACTCCTCCTCCTCCTCCTCCTCCTCCTCCTCTTCCTCCTCCTGGGTGTCACAGACGAACTAGAAACTGCATAACCATCAACATTGGGAACTCCGCGCCGATTTCGCGGATCCGCGCTGGACCCCCCCTCCCTGGCGAGCGGCCTTGGAGGCGCCGTCAGGGTGTCCCAGCGCGGATCTTAGAAATCCGCTGGGACCTCCGAGAATCTACGTATATGCTGCGTTGGCGTCGGACCGCCCTCCTCGACGCACCCCTGGGATGCGCTCTCGAGGCGTCATCATGCCTACAACCCCACACCTACTCGGACTGTGACAACGCCAACCTGAACGCCTTGCCTTGAGGCGCGTCTGTCGAAGATCTGGGGCGTTGTGGGTGCCTCTCAGGGCTTTTTGAGGCATTCTGGGCCTCCTGGGGGCACCTCATGTCGGGCAGCTGGAACTGTGGGCTTGGGTTTTCTCTCGTGGGCTGCTCTTGGCGCCGTCTGGACGCCGTCTTGGGCTGGTTTGTGCGCCTGTGGGCCGTTCTTGGGGCTGCCTCGGGGCCTTTTTGGACTGTCTGGGGGCTCTCTCGGGGAGTTCCTCGGGCAGGCTTGGAGGGCCCTTTGGCGGCGTTGAAGGCAATGACCAACGCTGAGGCGCAAATGCAGAAAATGTACGCTTTCCCATTGGAGTTTCACTATTTGGGCGCCTCTGGGGCAAGTCCTGGGCGGTCTCGTGAGGATCTTGGAACGCTCTGGGACCGACTGGGAACCGCCTTTGGAACGATTAGGGGGTGTTTTCCTGTCCCGTGACGCGTTCGAAAGCGATGGAAAGGTGCCTGACGGCGGTTCTTCGAGCTTGGAGCGCGCTTGGGGGCGATCTGGGAGCGGTCTCGGGGCCCCTGTCCCCCCATGCTCCGCGGAGGTGCCTGGGCGTGGCCAGGGGACCGCGTCCCCGGGGAGGGAGAGAGAGAGAGAGAGAGAAAAGAGAGAGAGAGAGAGATTCTCATACGCACCTCTCCGAGGGAATAGAGCTCAGAGGCGATTGATGCGTACGCGGGGCGCCGCGTC